CCTCATTGTTTTGAGTGGTTCTACCCATTTTTTGTGGGGTTGGGTGTAACCAACGTATTCTATTGTAATCCTTACGTTTTCAATGACATATATATATATATATATATATGTGTTGTTCATTTATTGTTGTGTATGTTTCTATTCTTAATGCTTGCTTTGGATTAATGATTCTCCTTGCATGATATAGGTTCCATTGGGTATTGGAAAATAACCATTGAAACTAGCTCTGAAACAAATGCCTAGTGGGAAATGTATCTAGGAATGGAGCTTGGCCATTAGTAGTCTTAAACCCTAGCCCGTAATGCGGGTGTAGATATTGGGTACTCAAGGGATTGATATTCAATATCCGCACCTAGGCTCTTGCTCTAAGGGATTAGGTTTGAGTAAACTTATGGGTTGACTAAGCAATATATGTAACAAGAGATTAAGGATTCATTAGTGTAACGTTTGGTGAAATCTGACCCCACAATCCCAGACAAACCATAATACCATTTCTACCCTTTTCCACACTAAAACCAATATTTTATAGTTTTAACATTCTAGTAGTCATGCTCTTCAATTCACATTCATATGATAAACTACAAATTGGAATTATTCTTTAGTCACGAATAGTCAATAAATGCTTATGTTACCTTCTAATCCCTGTGGATACGATAATTTTACTACTTGAACGGCCGGTATACTTGCCGTGTTTGAGACCGTTGATAGAATTAAACTGATTTACAATTATAACAAAAGTGTTTCAACGGAAATCTCAACAATTATCGACTATCCTTACAAATCAACACAAGACCTTCAACATACTTTTTCTTCACTTAAACTGTTTCTAGAAAATTTCTCAAAAGGCCACTCACTCCAAGTCAAGCACGCGCACTTAATTGTAGAATTCTTAAGTAATGAACTATTGAAAAGTAGATCTATCTTATTTATATAAGTAGTACAAATTAATTTCTTTATAAGTGTATAATTTCATACTTATACAAATTTTTAGATCGATCTCATTTTTGTGTATCTAAACGGTTACATACTTGATTTTAATGATTTGTCTTATGTTATTTATAGTTATGACAAAAA